TATATTATAATATTTATACTCAAAATATATTAAAAAATTATAAATCTAATATTAAATTTAATAAAATTAATTAAAAACCTCATAATTAACAAATCTTAATGCACAAATTAAACAAAGCTTATATAATAATAATAGAAAGAGTTATTCCTATCTGTCTTTCTTCTTCTTTTTCGTTTCGCTCTCCTGGGCCTCTGGTTTATCCGGATTATGGGCCAAAATTTTGACCCATACGGCCTTGCCCATTTCATTGAGACGTAATCCGTCTTGAAGGTCGTGCCAATTAGTTGCATGGTCATCACGTGCCGGGTGATGGGACACGGATTCCCATTCATGTTATCATCCCTCCTAGGCCCCCCATCTTGACACGTAGGAACAAAGACGCAGCCTCATTGGTCCACGTCTTCACATACGTGTCAAAACAGCACACGTGTCCGTCAAGGCTTCTGATTGGGCATGGAGTTATGCCCTCCTCCCAATGGAAAACAATAAAAACGCAACCTCGGAATCGACGCATTTGATTGTCGTCCACGTGGTTTAGAGATCTAATCACAGCCGTAGATCTTTATGGAGATCAACGCCAAAAAGCGGAGTTGCTATAAATTCACACTTTACAACCTTTCCCGGTAATCTCGAAGTGTCAGTGTTTTAGGAGCGGTGTTGTTATGGCGGAATCCGGTCCCAAACAGCAAATTCCGACGGTAAGGTTTTTCTATTTTGATCTGATTTTCGGCAAGAATTGAATCGTACTGTTTAATCGTTCCTGATAGAACAAGAATTTAATCGAAAATTTGGATGGAAAATTGAATTCTGTTTCGTATGCGATAAATTTGGATGGAACCGTGATTTGTTTTGATTTGTTTGGATTCAGACGCAAGATAACGAGAAGAAACTCAAGTATTTGGATTTCGTGCTAGTAGCGGTGATCTATGGGATTGTGTGCATCATAAGTCTTTATGAATTCGCGAAGGAAAACTCCGGGCCACTGAAATCCGGCGTGCAAGCGGTGGAAGACACTGTGAAAACCGTCATCGGCCCCGTTTACGAGAAGTTTCACGATGTTCCTTTCGAACTTCTCAGGTTCGTCGATCGCAAGGTCGGTAATCGCCTAAGCGCTAGATTTCTGTGTACAAATTCTAATAGAAAAGTAGGGTTTAGGGGGAAAATGGAAATCGAAAGTCAATTTGCAATTCTTTTAGAAATGTTAATGGTGATCCCGTGAATTGCAGGTGGACGATTCCCTGAGGGAGGTGGACCGTCACGTGCCGTGTCTCGTAAAGCAGGCTTCATTCCAGGCTCGAGCTGTGGTTTCTGAGGTCCAGCGCGACGGCTTAGTGGATGCTGCGAACAAAATCTCGAAGAATGTCTACACCCAGTACGAGCCGGTGGCGGAGCAGTACGCTGTGTCGGCTTGGCTGTCACTGAACCGGCTACCACTTTTCCCACAAGTGGCCCAGATTGCTTTGCCGACGGCTGCCTACTGGTCGGAGAAGTACAATCTGGCGGTGTCTTACACGGGGGAGAGAGGGTATCCATTGGCATCTTACTTGCCACTGATCCCTATTGAGAGAATTGCCAAGGTGTTTCAGGACGGTGAGAATGAACCCTCCATTGTAACCAATGGAGGAGCTGTTATGGCAGAATGAGAACAGAGAACTGAAGAAGTTTTTGGTGTGGGGTGGTGTGGTATGGGATGATGTAGGTGTGTTACAGTCAAGACCGCCGAAAGTTGCTTCCTTTGTGAAGCCCAAATCATGTTTTCAGCATTATTTCCTTTAAAAGTTGTACTAGATCTTCGGCCGCTCCATATTGTTAATTGGAAAGAAAGTTCATAATTAAAGAACTTCAGTTCAAAAACCTTCTGTAGTTTCACATCCTTCATTTGACTTTGTGCTGGTAATGAAACAACAGTTGGAGAGCATGAGAAAGTGATTTTTCTATTACTATTACTAGGAAGACAAACTGCTTCGATACAATATGTGGGCTGGAATTCCTTCAAAAAGATGATGCGATGAGATACACCTAATTCAAGAAGATGATGAGAAAATGGTAATGGGATGGTTACTTTTCTTTGGCTTAAGAAACACCCAATAAAAATAAATGGGATAATTTCCCAGCATTATCATAAGTTTACATGTGCACATAGATTTCATTTATGAACGAATATCCATTCTCATTCCCTCGAATTCAAGTCTGCCTCTACCAAGCTTAACAACCAGCACAAATTCTCATTCCTTGCCTATCAAGTAAAAACAGAGTACAACCCACCAAAGGAAACTTCTACTCATCTCTAAATTCTAATGTCCTTTCAAGTCTCAACAATCTGCAACCAAATGAAACAATTTCAAAGCATATAAAATAATTATAATATCAACTTGTTTGTTTTATTTCACAAGATTCATACTTACCATCATCTTTCTTCCCTAATTTCCTGATGAACAGCAGGAAGAGAAACACAAGGCCCAAAGCAGCTACTCCTCCCAAGACAATTGCTACCGATTTTCCTGTGTTACCCCCACCTCCACTTCCTGCCAAAAATTGAGTTTATTAGTAATGTTAAAACAAAATTAACATAAGCAACTCTTTTCCTTTTAAAACCCTTTTTCTTTAAAAACCCTTTTTCTTTAAAAACCCTTTTTCTCCCACTTTCTCTCCATGCTTTGAGTTTTATTTTACCTGAATTTGTAGTCCCTGGTATTCCATCTGGATAATAATTATAACTAATATAGCACTTGTCCAAATAAATTTCGCCAGAAAGTGATTCACCACACTCTTCTTGAGCAATCTGTACGGCAATGTTCACACATTCCCCGCAATCACACCGTTCTAAATCCTCCTCACACTGTGCCGCCATATGCATTAGCTCATAGTCCCCAGCAAAATACCGAATACCACCGGCAATACCACTCTCCATTGCTGCAAATGCTGCATCTCTCACCTCTTCAAATCCGCTAAACACCGCCTTTTGTTCACCACAAATCTTGTGAAGTAGCTCATGCTTGGAAGAACCTACATCACTAAACTCATCAGTTGCATAATGAACATAGCATCCGTGTAGCTGAATCCGGGCTGATGCTGCGTTTAGACACAATGAGTTTGACACTTCAGGAAGTTTGCTTATGCAGTCGCGGCATTCATTGTTGCTTAGATCTCCTCTGCATTGGAAAAGTCCAGAAATACCGGTATCTTCATCACCTGTGGTGGTTTTATAGAACTTGTGCCGAGATGATTGTGATGTGAGTACTTGGAAAAAGAAGGAGAGTGATTGAGAGTGAGACTTTTTTCCACCTGTGAATGTCTTTGTTGTGCAGTTCTTGTACACTAAAGAAGTGTGATAAGAAGAAGTTTGTGCAGATGGGTGGATTAAGATGTGAAAACAGAGGAAAACAAGAAGAATTTGGGATAGAAAAGCCATAAGTTTCTAAATGGTTGAATACTTGATGTGCAGTTCTGCCATGGATAATAGCTGCTTGAATATGAAATACTTAAGGTTAGTAAAATATATTCTTTTAAACTGTGGCTTTTAGAGTTGGGATTTGGGGTTTATATTCCGACCAACATTTACCTAACTAGAATCAAACTGGCTAATCTGTATAATCTTGTCTTACCAAAGGAGAGAAGAAAAATTATAAAAAGGCAATAAGAAGCCAAATAATGTTGTAGCCGCCTCCTGTTCTTTTTCTTTTTTTTTCTTCTTCTTCTTCTTAATCAACCAAATGCAAAATTAAATTAATGGAAGTTCAAAGGTTCTCAATCTATACAAACTCAAAAACTCATAAGAAAGGTCGTGTTCAGAATTCTGAGCATGAGGCAATCAATCAAGAGAGCAAGACAATTAAACCCAGAATGACATGCTCCTGGAAAAGCCAACACAAAACGCTCTAGAACGATGAATACAGGGATGGACAGGCACAACCTCGGAGTTCATGAAGAAAATGGAATAATCCACGTCCCTGTATCAATTTTTTTTTTTACTTTATAAACCAATGGAAGCCATGAACAAGATCATAAGCAAAATTGGTTGTGTTCGGGATTAGTATGAACTATGAAATGCTATGGATGTGGCACTTCAATATTCTATTATGAGAAAAATTAAGTCATTATTTGATAATGGCTTTAAAAAGAATTTTATATATTAATATGATCATTAAATTATATAAAATCTTAATTAAAATTAATTTAATGATAATAAATTAACACTTTTACGAGGTATTGTATGAAAATGCATTGCGAGAGAACTACTCCAGCAGACAAAGAACCAGCTGCAAATTAATCAAACGCACATAGAATGGCCGAGAAATTTACATAATAATAACAGTAGCCACGCAAGAGAAATCTTGACACCTTATCCATCTCAAGAGTTAAACTTTATATTAAACCAATGAAGAAGACATCAACTACAAGAATGAACAATAACATCCCACCAGCAGAAAACAAAATGAAAGGGAAAGTAAAAGCAGTCTTCACTTCACTGAAACAAAATCAAAGAAATATAGAGACAAATGCTTCACAAAAGGGTGAAAGATTCAACTCAAACAGAATGGCAAAAACACTAATATAGAGAAGCACCATCAACCAAAATTGCAAAATCGATAAGTTTATATATCTTATCGGCCAATAAGTCAATCAAAACAAATAATCTCACCAGGAGCAACAGTTCTCCCAGCTGAAGTAAATTTAAGAATTATTCAAGGAAATGCAAAACTAAAATAGCATACTACTGGAGAACTGGGATCTAGTACATAGAATACTTGTCACGAACTCCAGGGTAGATGCTTTTGTAAATTGCCTTTGCAATGGGAAGAAGAGCCACAAGAGCAATCTGAAGCTGGTCTGAGCTACTTGTTCGAACTGTGATCTGTCCACTCATCTTATTATTCAGTCCAGCTCGAATTGCCACCTTTGAACCACGTCCAATGGAGAACTGGGATTGAAGGTTTGCACCAAGTGCTAAGTCCCCTCTCCATTTTACTAGAGACAAGCCCAATGAGGATTGGTCCTGGCCAATTGGAAAATCTGCATCTCTGAGCTGCACTTCTAAATTGGCTCCGTATGCTGAATCACCTTGCGACCTAACAGTTCCAGTGCTGCCCACCAACAGGAAGCGCTTTCCTACTGCAATCTGATTGTCAAGTTTAAATCCAGTTGCAACATTCTCACCCAAGAATGTAACAGAAAACCCTGCTGCTGTTTTGTTCTTTCTGAAATTCTTGAATTTTGTCTCCCCTCTCAAGATGTAAGCCACTTGCTTCCCCACATTTTGGATGTCAAAACCTGCCAAGGTTGATCCATTCTCTCCATGCTTGGCAGAAACTGAGGAGTCCAAATGGATATTAAACTCTTTCTTATCCTTTGTGAGTTGGAGAGCAATTGCTGCTGGAAACCGGTTCATAATTGCCAGAGTATGTTCAAGGTTAACACCATCATATCCACAATCATGGTCCCAACCATGAGTGTCCAAAACAGGCCTTGCCAGGAACTGGGAAGTTGGCTCCAAGAACCGGTACCTATAAGCTGAATTATCAGCATCAAAGGAAGGTGGAAGGATCATATCAGGCAATGGAACTGGCACAGTGGTTGGACCTCCATCTTCTTGATCAGCAGCTTCCCCCAAATTACCATATTCACCTACCACAGGCTTTCCTTTCTTTTTCATCACCCTCATTTTCCTTATCTCCTCTCTCCATTGCTTTTTCTGCAGAAGCTTTACCCGATAGTCATACTCCTCAAGATATGCCTTCCTTTGTTCCTTACTAAGCTTAGCAAGCTGAGCTTTGTTGAGAGGCCTGAAAGGTGGAAGTTGCTCATATTCATCTTCATCTTCTTCTTGATCAGAATCAGACAAATCTGCCACGTCAATATCAAAGTCACCATTGTCACCACCCTGATCAGTAGCAGGTTTTGGGTGAGAACGGGACTGCAACAACCAAGATAACAAATATGGAAGAGGAGGAGAACGGACACGGAAACCAAAGAGCTTCTTATGCTCTATAGGTTCTTGAGGTTTTGAGAGGGAGCTGGCATCAGATAAGATCTTCATAGAGAAACATAACAGCAATAACTGAGGTCTCCAACTCTGACCATTAGGAAGCACCTTATGGCCATCTCTATTTTTTCGACAGGAAGGATGGTTCTCAACAAGGGAAACTGGATTCATCAGACGCAGATCACCTACAGCATGGCCAATAGACTGCTGAACAACATGTGAACGCTGGCCAACAAAAACCTCATAACTCAAGGGTGAGCCAGACGGTCCATCTGGAGGTGCAGATGCAGCATGGGTCAGTGTGACTATTGCATTTCGCCAGATAGAAGAGCCAAGGGAACTGGTGATGGATCTTAGCAATGGACAGTCATTAAGATCCCTGGCTTGTGTGTCCAGGCGATCAACATAGAGCACAACATCAGCAGGACGCCCCTTTGTTAACTTCTTTATAGAAGCTAGGACCTGGCGGTTATCACGTTGTTCCATAGCTGAAGATTTCAGACCTGGGGTATCAATGACTGTAATCTTAACTCCATCTACCATTCCAGTTACCTCCTTCACAGCATCAGTGGCAGGCTCAAATGCATGGATTAAGGCCTTCTCCTCACCAAACAATGAATTAATTGTA